ACATATGGAAGACTTTCAAACAGTGGGGAACAAAGCACTGAACAGATTGAGTTTGGAAGGTTTTAAAAATCTGGGGTTGCTCAGACTGCCAACGAGAAGAGCCTGTTGGAATTGCTAGGTCCTCTTGTTCTCACTTCTATCTGTAGATCTTTTTTTCAGTCTTTTGTATGTTTTGATCACCTAGTTTGATCTTATCTCATTATCTACATTTGTTTCTTTCCTTCTTGTGGTGCTGCCTGGTGTTTTCTTCTTCCCTGCCATGCTGTTTTGTTTCTGCCAATTTCCACTCGTAATTCAGGTGTAGAACAGAAAAACAATTATTTCTCTTCTGTGAGTTAGATGGGTTTTTTTTGGCCTTGCTTGTACAAAAGCATACTTTCACAAATCACCTTTCTTCTCAGGGGTCAGTTTTTCAGATCATCTTGTCTTGCAGGTGTCCACTGAGCTTAAGTTCTCTATGCAGCTTCTCTCTTCCATCACTACTTCTGATTTCCATCTGAACTCTGTCTCTGTTCCCAGCTGGATCTCTTATGTGAAACTGTCAAATATCGATTTGTAGTTAATGTACATTCTGCAACTTTTGTACCTCTTTATTTTGCTTGTCTGCAGGTTTTGGTTTCTTCTGCCTCAGGAACCATCGCCATTTTAAAGTGAAGGCATTCCCTTCTGCACAGCTCCTCTTTCTGGTGCTCTTTGCTTATTGGCCTTCTCAGTGAGTGCCCTCGTTTTTAAACCATTCTCCAAGGTCTGTTCTGCAACCTGATTTCGTATCAGGAGTTAACTCTGGTGGTTGTCCTGATCCTTCTGCACTTGAAGTCACTGGCTTCTTTCATTTACTTCTTCCTTCTCAGGCTGATGCAGAGTTAAAAACTGGAATGTCCTTAAATGATGACTTCACCAAATTTTGGAATCTAGTAGTGGCAAGAAAACATCTTGGTCTTCACAGCTTTTCTGAGCTGGTAGTAGATATGCTGACATGCTTTTGTCCTTCCTTACTTCCTTATCAGCCAACAGTAACAGTGTTAGGTGGAAGTGAGCATCTTAATTCCTCTTGGCTGTTTTCCCTGGTCAGAATTCTGAGTGCTGCCTTTACTTGCAAGTTGTTCAGATCTGTTTTTGTTCTTGTCTCGGTTTTGTTCTTGTGTCAGTGTTCTGTTTTCACACAGTTGTCTTTTTAATTGAGTTTTCAATTCAACTTTTATTTAAGATTTTCTTTTTGCTGTCACAGAATGCATGGTTGTCTTACTGTCTCTTGGGTCTATATTTTTTTTCCACAAAGGATATTTTGTCCATTTGTGGCAAATAGAATCAAATTTCAATTCAGGAACCTTCTGTTGGCACACTCCTCCTCTCCACAGAGCCACCTGGAGGGAAGAACCAAGCCACCTCAATAGGGGAAAGCTGTTGGATGTCCAGAAATGCTCCGAGAGATCCCTCGCTGTTATTACTGAGTAGTACTAGAAGAAGCCTTTCTTCTTTCTGCTCTACACTTTATAATCAGAATTTAGTTTTAACTCTACTAATAATGGCATTTTTAGAAACTTAATTATGAAAGAGGATATTTTTAACTGCTTTAAGTGTGTACACTGTTTTCACATAGTTTTCAGTTTACTTTGTCAAGAAGGGTTTTCATCTTGAGCACTTTTGTGTTTCTTAAAGTAGTTTCAGCTGTTAATCATGGTCATTGGTTCTGCCAGTTTTACTGGTTTTTTTTTACTTTTCATTTTGTTACATTTTAGTGGCTTTTTTTTAAATTGAGATTTTCTTGAAAGTTAATAATTAAGATTTTCGCTCAGCCTAAAATCTAATACCCTTCATCATTTGTTATCAAGTATAGCATGAAGTAATGGAGAGATACTCGAGGATTTGCTTATCTTAACACAGGCCCAAATGAGTCTACTAATGCTGTCCTTTTACAGACGTACAGCATTTCCATGGAAAAATTATGTGCTCATATAAAACAGATTTGACATTAATTGTTACCATTTGTTGAGAGAATTTTGTTCTGTTTAGCACGCTTGGTTATCCCTAACAGGAAAGCAAACTTGCGCTATTACTTTACTGATTATTAGTCAAACATTTTTGCTTTGGGGAAAACTTCATTTAGAAATACATCAGTATTTATGTTTGAGTATTTACTTTTTTTTGTTTGTTTTCTCTATTTTGATCACCATTAGGGGAATTCCTTGGTACTTTTTAGTAATTCCTGTGACATTGAAAGTCACAAAAGTGAAAGACTCAGGCAGAGAACCTGACTGTCTGTACAGAGTGGGATGCAGTACCTTATTCTTTTAGTGAGGCTGTAGCAGGTCTGATGTCAGTCACTTCAGAGACCTTTAGACCTCAGTGCTCATTTATTGCTAAAATGTACCAGCTCTGCTCCTGCATTATGAAGATCATCTGTCAACACTTTGAGATATTCTCCTTTGTTATTAAGCTTGTGATGCTCTACACTGTCAGGTTTTTTGCCAATTATAGTTAAGGTACAATAGTGTATTCACTGGATCAAAGTCTCACACTGGCGGTAGAGGAATGATTTGTAAGTCTTTATTCATCTGAATTGTACAATAGAATACCTGAGGAATGCAAATAATCCCTCTAAGGACTCAATAGAAAAGCTGTTAAAATGACAGTCTAAGACTATTATTATTCTGAATTGGTGTTTTAGCCAAAGTAATTATTTCTTATCCTACACTGTCAGGTTTTTTGCCAATTATAGTTAAGGTACAATAGGGTATTCACTGGATCAAAGTCTCACACTGGCGGTGGGGGGAAGGTTTGTAATCTTTTTTTTGCCAATTATAGTTAAGGTACAATAGTGTATTCACTGGATCAAAGTCTCACACTGCGGGGGGGGGAATGATTTGTAAGTCTTTATTCATCTGAATTGTACAATAGAATACCTGAGGAATGCAAATAATCCCTCTAAGGACTCAATAGAAAAGCTGTTAAAATGACAGTCTAAGACTATTATTATTCTGAATTGGTGTTTTAGCCAAAGTAATTATTTCTTATCTTGTTGTTCCACAATAGTTCTTAGTTTATTAGTTACGATGACCATATTTACCAAACAGAATTTGAATCCAATTTTTGACTTTACTTTCATGCTCATTTTACTTTTTCAAGTTAGCATGTTTCATTCTGTCTTTCACTTGGTACATTATTTAATTAGTCTAGAGACCAGTGTTAGATACTTACTTAAAAAAAAATAAAATAAAAAGGATGCATGCACAGATGTTGAAGTACACTTATGAATAGCACATCCATTTCTAGGTACATTTTCTGTAAAAGGTTGGCATTTGTAAGCTCTGAACTTTGATATCCAGTTTGTTAGCCAAAATAAATCAGCTAACTACAAATGTCAGTTTTAGAAGTGCTGTTAAATGTCACGTGTCGCATTCAGAAATGCACCTTAATTGTGATTTTCAGTTCAGACGTTTCTGAAGGCAATAGTGTTTCAGTATCAGTCCTGGATACCAGACTATATTTTCATTGGATAACTGGAGAAAAAAAAAGATTAGTATAATGAGGATTGAAAACCACTGATGGGGTATTTACATAAGTAAATGATAGAAGACCAGCCTTACATAACAAACGTGTGAAAACTGTTGAGTGAACTTTTATATTCTTTGTCCCATCTAAAACCCTACTCAGTGGGCCATGCACTTAATCTCATAATAGCTCTGATCCCCTGCTATTTTCTTTGACAAATGTGTGTTGATGAACTTGTGGTTCAGTTCATTTTTTTTCTGAAGTGACATTTGCATTGATTATTTAAAGGTTTGCAGGCCACAGTTTCAAAGCACTTTAGTATAATAGGAGTTAAAACCTTAGTCTAAATCTTGGAGATTAGCAGGACTAAGAAAAAGAACTCAGCAAGCATAAAACCCTGTGCTGTATGGTGGGTGCTTCAGGTCTGAACCATCTACAGCACCCAAAGTGTACTGTATTTTGTACTTTGTGTCTTAGTCTACAGGAAGTATTCCCATGCCTCTTGTGTTTTCTTGCTGAGCATACAGAGTTGTCATTCTTACCATTCACACCTGTTCGGAAATAGTGCCCTATAAATAACATTGAACTCCTTACAGGTAATTTATGAATGTCTCCCTTAAATTTCAAATAAATAGTATTTGCAGTCATGAATGTGATACCTGTGTTTAAAGATTGTTTAAACATCAGCTATTGCTGCAAAGATTTTCTTAATTTTTTTATAGGATATCGAACATTCAAAAACTAGCACCATAAATCCGTAGCTCTAGATTTGTAGTTTCGTTCAACTAAAAAAAATAGTAGATGTACAGCAAACTATTACTGATGCTGCCAGTTATTGAAGATGAAGAGAAATAGGAAATTTGATTCTTTATTTAAAAATAATAGTATAATATCTAGAAGCTTTGTCCTGGGGAGATAGTAGAAAGGTGGAAGAAACTAGTAGAAACACAGCCCTGTATTCATTAGCTATGGCATACTCCAAGATCAATAGCTAGAAAAAGCAGGGTGCTGCTTGCTATCTAGGAGTTTACGGAGTATAGTGTTCTTTTCTGTCTGTTAGTATCAGCTGCCCTAGTCACTGAGATGCTTTTAAAAAAAAAAAAAAAAAGAGGAAAAACTGAAGACCCCCAGTTTTGCTGCATTTGATAAATATCACTCTTGGAAGTCTCAGAAAAACGTACATCCACAGATCTACAAAGTTTTATTCATTTAGCATTTTAGATTGCAAGTATTTAACCTCTACCAAAAACCTAGTTATTGTCTCAAATTATGCCTATTTCTGATAGATTAAATGCCAAACAGAAACCAAGAAACAGTGAAATGTTAATGGAGTACACCTGAAGCAATTGCTGCCTGTTAATGCCTTGACCTTGGAAAGCAATACACAAAAAGATGGCATCATAAAACCGTGCAATTCTTATGAATATGTATGTGCTACTTGATAATAATGAATGTGGTACAGCCATGCATGCACTACAAGATAATGTTGTGCCCTTTGTTGTGTACAGGTTGATAAAAATTAAAGAGTGGGTGGACAAGCACGACCCGGGTGCTTTGGTCATTCCTTTTAGTGGGGCCTTGGAACTCAAGTTGCAAGATATGAGTGCTGAGGAGAAACAGAAGTATCTGGAAGAGAACATGACACAAAGGTTAATTAGCATTCATTTTCCCTACACTTTATTATCAACTATTTCCTTGCAGTAATTTAATTGCTTGCGCTGATAGAATAATAAATGACAGAGTAATTACCATTATAAAGAGAGAATCTTCTCCTTTCTTTACCATGAGACAGAGTGAAAAGATTTATTTTAAATTAAGTTTTTAACTGTCATCTGTCATCTCTGTACAGTGTTTTAATTATAACATAGGTATTAGTTATGTATATTTTTAAGAAGGAATGATCACCAAAACTGTTTCGTCATCCATGGGGAGTAGGGATGGTGGAGAAAATTTTGCCATAATTTTTTCTGAAGAACTATAATAAATTGTTTCAATATTGAATTTCAGTCAAACAGTTATGCTTTCATGACCCGGAGTCCTGAAAATTGCATGAGACCAAAAGTGCTGCCTGATAGGGTGATTTAAATTTATCCCGTATTTCTGTATCCTGCCAAATAAACAAATCAAAATACTGTCTTTATGATGCTGCAGTAAAAAAGTAGTTCTTCTGAAGAGAGTTCAAAGAAAAAGGCTACTGCGATTATTGCTGTGTTTAAAAGTAGACCCGGTGTCTTCAAAATATGTGATGTCTTTCCATGTAAATTGATTACTTGGGGCATTTAGCTATTTTATGTGTATATGTTGAATGAATTGGATTCATTTTTTTTTCAGTGCTTTAGCAAAGATCATTAAGGCTGGATATGCAGCACTCCAACTAGAATACTTTTTCACTGCAGGCCCAGATGAAGTGCGTGCATGGACCATCAGGGTAAGATTCATACTTATTCATCAGCTATATCCAGTTCCACACTATTGAATTCAGATTGATATCACTGACTTTGAAGTTTGTCATGGTGGCGGTTAGCTAGTCATTACAGATGAGGTTTTTGTCCAGGATAACTTTAATTATTTGTGAGCTGCTGAACAGTGAAAGTGGAGCTGCATTGATTGAGGCAGGTAACAATTGATTCTGCCTATTACATAGTCTGAATTTCTTCATCCTGTAGAATCTGTCTACCCTCCTCCTGTGGTCAGAGATAAGACGTACCAGTATTGTGCTTGCTTAATCTGTGTGACTGGGTTTGTCTGCAGTGAAATTGATGTTGCTTTTCATTTTGTATTCACTAAGTTTGTTTGGGTTGCGGGTGGTTCATTCCTCCTTTGCTTTGCTCGGATTACATTTTCAGCAATAAAAGCAATATAACATCATTATATCCCTCATGGATACACAGTTGGGCTCAAAAACCTAAAATCAGTGTGCAGTAATTCAGGTCTTTTACTGACTTTAATATTTAGACCTAGTTTATTTTGGTAGTTTGTGTGTTTATCCGGGAACTTATGTAATGCCTAAAATTATATTATGTATTTTAAATATTGATGTAGAATGATTATAGCCATAGAGATCAACTAATTTATTCCCAGAGGACAGTAAGAGCTGAGCTGTAGTGGTTTGCCTTTGAATGTAAATATGTTATAATATAAAGATTAGTATTGAAAAATATTTTGAAATGCATGTAGTTACAAACTATCTTAAAAATTACAAAAATGTCAACTTTTGGAGGTGCAGATCTGTCACTGAGCTTTTATTTTTTGCATCGGTGTATTTAGTGCTGTGCAGGGAATTTCAGTGCTGTATGCAATTTCGTTCAATGGAATTAATTTGTTTTCATTACTCAACATAATTTCCAGTGAATTTATATTTTTATTAATACTGCTGCAGATGTTTGTGTATAAGTTTTAGTACGTTAAACTTATTTTCCTAAAAGCACGTTTATTTTTTTAGCCTTTTCATCTCATCTCCTTTTACATGATAACTGCTAGCTAAAGTCCCTGAAATAGCCACCAAAATAATATAAAAGCAGAAGTTCTGTTGTTCTGATTTTTGCCATAGTTTCTAAAAGCACATTGTGAAACGCCACTGTTTTCAGTAGGAGAAATGCTTGCTCTTTATTAGAAAATTTGAAAGCTGGTTTATCTTAAGACTGATTGTAAGTATCTTTGATTTAATGTGCAAAGATATTTAGTCAGGTAAGCATCAGTGAGTAGCCATATTAACCCAATACATCTTTTATTGTAAAAACTGTGCTTTACACTGTCAGACTCCTTAGCACTTTAACATGCTTTATTAAGCAGCCTTTAGGTCATCATTATTTCTCGAATTTCTCTCCATGGTTGTATGTGCACAGAATGTATGTCCTTGTAATTTAAGGCATGCAGTTACAATGCATTCTCCTCTATTGCATAAACTTAAATTGTCTTATAATAGTTTTATTGTAAAAACTGTGCTTTACACTGTCAGACTCCTTAGCACTTTAACATGCTTTATTAAGCAGCCTTTAGGTCATCATTATTTCTCGAATTTCTCTCCATGGTTGTATGTGCACAGAATGTATGTCCTTGTAATTTAAGGCATGCAGTTACAATGCATTCTCCTCTATTGCATAAACTTAAATTGTCTTATAATAGTTGCCTGTGATTTTTTTTTTTTAGTGATTCAGTTGTTGACATTTTGGTAAGAATACTCATTTTGTTCTATATTAGATAAAATTATTTGTAAAAACTGTGCTTTACACTGTCAGACTCCTTAGCACTTTAACATGCTTTATTAAGCAGCCTTTAGGTCATCATTATTTCTCGAATTTCTCTCCATGGTTGTATGTGCACAGAATGTATGTCCTTGTAATTTAAGGCATGCAGTTACAATGCATTCTCCTCTATTGCATAAACTTAAATTGTCTTATAATAGTTGCCTGTGATTTTTTTATTTTTTAGTGATTCAGTTGTTGACATTTTGGTAAGAATACTCATTTTGTTCTATATTAGACTTAGTAAAATTATTCTGAAATAAAAATAAGATAATACATAGGGCTTGAGATCCATAAATCATTTTTGATTACAAATGTGGTTCGCCAGCAAATGTTATCATTTAATTGAAAGTATTTGGACATAAGTAAAAGTCTTGAGTAATTCAGATTTTAAAGTTATTTAAAAATCTTTATTTTCCTCACTTTCTGTCTGGAGAGCTAGGGATCGAAGTAAATCCCCCAACAAAACACAATCATAGCTTCTAAAATCAATACTGCTGTTGATACCTATTAGGAAAAACAAAGCTGCCCTTCTTTAGTATCAGTTGGTTTATCTGTGGCAAAGGCATCTATCTGTATGTCCCAGTATTGAGAATTACCCAGCTGTATGTGTGACATTTTAACTGACATGAAACAAAGTTTCAGCAGATCCTGAAAGCATATCAAAAAGGAGAAACCTCTTTCCTGCAATCAGTCTTCTTAAATGCAATTAATTTTGTTCCGGTCTTCCCTTTGACAGAAAGGGACGAAGGCTCCTCAGGCAGCAGGGAAGATTCACACGGATTTTGAAAAGGGATTCATTATGGCTGAAGTAATGAAATATGAAGATTTTAAAGAAGGAGGTTCAGAAGCTGCTGTCAAGGTGAGCTCCCCGTCTTTTTCTTCTCCCTTCCTCCATATGTGCCATTTTTCCATTTCAAGTCTGTTTTTCACAGGGAAGAAGTTCTTGATGCTAAGCGAATCTTAACAGTCACCTCTAGCAATAGACCAAAATCTGTTTTCATCTTTTATTTAGGAAAGAATTCAAATGCACCAACTTACTGAACAGGAATGCAACTATTTCAGTACCCAAGATATGACCGTTCATGGACTAAATGTCAACACTAAGGCCAAATGCTATGCTAAATTTTTCTTCTCTGTTTACATGTTAGTGTTCAGAATTTAATAAGCTTTAAAATGAACTTGTTTCTGAAAAATCAAATTTTTAAGATGAGATAACAGATTTTTGAATCACCTCTAAAAGGAAATGCAAGAAACACAGAAAATCTGTTTCTTCTAATAATGTGTCGTCTTGTTTTGAGTTTGCAGTGAAGGTATTACAAATGTTGGATGCAAATGGTTAAGAAAATATTGTATTATAAAAATGTATCTTTTTTTTTTCAGGATTAGTGGGTTCCACTTCTAGACTCTCATAGGCATAATTAGAATCTTAAAATTTACCATTTCAGTATTTAATTCAGTCTCCCTTTGATGTCTTACTTAAAAATGCCATGCCTTACTGTGATTGTTCAGGGTGCCAGTAATAGTTGCATGTAGTCCACGAAAATATATTACAATAGGTGAAGTTTCCTAGCTGCTATCTACTGAGTAGACAGTGAAGATATTTAATGAAAAACTTTTTTTCTTGAGCTCACGCTTCTTTGTAGTGACACTTCTATTAAGAAGAGTTTTATCTGCTTTCTCAACACTAGAGGGCAGAGACTGATTGGGTGCCCAAAGTTGTGCCCTTCTTATAGCTGACAAATTATAGCTGATTTGAAGTTATTAAATATGAAATGAACTTGTACATGGCAAATAAATGTCATAAGAAAAGCTGTTCTTCTCTGCATTGCTACTGCATTATTTCCACCTTCTTTAAGCAGAGAAACTTCCCTTTATTTCATACACATTTGATTTCTCATTTGGCATTTTTGATGTTTTATTAAGATTCATATTTTATAAAATTGCAATTACAAAGCACATTAGTTTGATTTAATCAATCTCAGTGTTTGAAGGTTCCTACACTATCTAATGTGTTAAAGAATTTAAAAGGTTCAGCTTTATTGTTTGCTATTTGATAGCTTGAAAGGTATGCAAAACTATGATTTCAGATTCAGCTTATCCTCAGTGGTATCACTAAGGAAGATCATACTGAGCAGCGGGACTTTAATAGGTTTGTTTGAACCCCAGGAAGTGAGGGGGAAAAAAATCCTGGTATAATTGGTTCGTTGCGGCATGTGAACTGTCTTATCAAAAGGGAAGTAGAGTTGGAGTTGTAAAGTGAAACCACAGCTATAAATAAAGCTAATATTCTGCAGTCAGAAACCACTTTATGTAACCAAGACTCAAATTTTGCCAGCAACAGTTTTCGAAGCTCAAATCTGAGTGTTTTCCCTGAGAAGCCGCATCAGTTAATACCTATTAAATTAATCTATAAGTATTTTGCTTATGTATTTTTATTTGCTTTTCACAATGTAAGATTCTAGACATCAAGCTTCCATGTTCAAATTATATCGAATGATTAATTTTTTATTGTTTTGAAGTATCTGTAAAGCAAGCATATTTGCATTTGTTACTCAGTTTTTAAATCAAGATTCGAAAAAACGCCTTGCCTTTAGAAAAATGCATTTTATTACTCTAGTCTTTTCTAATTTGCATTTAATACAATGTTTCATGCCATACACAATGCTAATTACTTTTATTTTGCTGATAAATTGCAAAATTAAATTTGGGAGCTTTTAGGAGTCAACTGAAATAACAGTGGTAATGGGAGTTGCTTGCTTTGTATGTTATCAAGTTGATCGATTTTTAAGTTTGATTTTGTGTGTGTCTAACAGCAGTACAGCATAACTAATTTAATGCCAGTGCTGTGAACTATACACTGAATAGCTCTGTGTGGGCTTTGTAGTCTACAGGGATATCACATTATTAGCAATCATATCTGCTTAGGCAAAGCTGGCTTCTACAGATGGCTGCTTTCAAGTGCAAATGAACTGGTTAGACGTGTCTTGTTTAATACATACTCAAGATTCACAAATGGGTATTGATTTTTTCAACCAGTGTTTCTGATAGCAATGGAAATGGATTAAATGGTCTCTAGAGAATTTAAAGGAACACTGTCACTTTTAATTAACTGTAAACTGGTAACAAAAATACATAAACTTGCATTAGTGTGTCAAAATGTATTTAATTAAAGAAGTCTATGCCACTTGGACGGTGTGCAATACTGTGCTAAAAAAAAAAATCCGCATTGTTACTTTGTGGAGGTCAGTTTTTGCCTACAAATATTTGTGAGTAATAAATGTATTTGACTGTAAAACGTCTCTGTACCTGTGCCTGCAGCTTACGCTTGCTGATAATTTTTACAGCACTGTTTTATTAGTGTTTATGCCATCAATTAGTCTAATTACTCTTGACTTTAAGCATTATTAGGATCTTCAAAGGAAAGAACTACTAAGTCTACTTGAAAGTAAACCTTTTATAGTCTAAACAAATTTCCAGGGAGGGGAAATACAAAAACATTTGCAAAGTCCTATTTATTATTTATCGATAGTGTCATATGGGATAAGGTCAATTACTGTTGCACTATATATTTATTGTCGAGGCTATTTTATCTGCAATTTTCTGTAGGCTAGCATCACTGGTGACAACATTTAAATAAGGAATGACAGCAACAAGGTTATCGAGCCTCTGAATTCCTAGACAGCAATATGGGGAAATACGTTGCTTTACAGAGCAGGTTTTGTGAAAGAAAGGTGTCTAAGTTAACTAGGTACCATTAATCTGATCTGTTCTACTGCAACTAAGGTCATTAGTTAACAGCTTTCCTGTAATGGGATCTTAGGATACCACCACTGTGATAGTGTCATTGAGAATAATGGCACAGTGAGGTCTTGCATGGAAGCACTTTCTCCTGCAAGAGAAAACTTCAAAACAGGAATGGTTATTGAACTAAAGCAGAAGCTCTCAACTTTTCCGTATTGTAGATCACTTTTCAAGATAAATGCTTCTGCAGACGACCTCCCGCCCAGTCTGTCAGTCCTCATGCCACAGCTTCTCTGTGGCCTCTGTAATACTAGGTTTAATTATGACGAGATAAAGATAGAAAAATATAATAATAAATTCTAATGCAGAGGATGCTGATATGTAATAGATTCCTTGCCTATTTTCTGCTCTCCTCAAGTACAGCGTTTTCATAACGAATTTCCTTTTCATGTCTTTGGTCTGTATGCCTCCTCCTGTATCCTGGTTTCACAGCCTATCTGCTCTTATATCTGTCCTTCTGAAGCAAATTTCTTCTAAAGGAAATTTCTGACAGAAAAACTGGGCCTGTATTTTGTGCTCCTCAGTCCTTCATTATCTGGGCACAAGCAGACAAGAGAGCCCCGCTCGAAGCACAAGGCATGTACAGTCGTGACTTTTGCATAGTGTTCCCATCTTTAGTTTTGACAGTACTCGCTTGTCCTTTGCTGGAGCAGCTCTGAAGTAGTTCAGATACCAGGTTAATAGCCGTGCAGCCATGATGCAAACTGTTGCTGATCGCCCTTTCCAGCAATACTGTTTTAGATTCCTGCTGCCAGTGTTTGCCATCTGCAGGTTTTTTAGATTAAGAAAAAGAAAGCCTGAAAGCTGAAAAAAAAAAATAATTAGTTGTTTTAGTGTCCTTTATCTTAAGACTTGCCAGGGTTTACAGATTTACTGCTAGATAATGCCGATGGCATTTAAGTACCACTGATTCAGTGGAGGTTAGATTATTTTTATATATATTTTATATGTATGTAAAACCAAATTATGTCAAACTGAGGAGTACTGCAGCTGTCAGACTCTGAAGCTGAAGTAGTACCATTTCTTTACCAAAATGTATTTAAATAATTACAATTTGAAAATACTATAAAATGTCTAATAAAAAAATAACCCATTTTCCTTTTGTCTGTTCTATTTACAGGCCGCTGGAAAATACAGACAACAAGGCAGAAATTACATAGTGGAGGATGGAGATATTATCTTCTTTAAGTTTAATACACCTCAACAACCCAAGAAGAAATGAATATCAGATGTTGTTCATTGCTCAGAAATAAACTGTGCTGCTTCAAAAAGCATATGAATTTTTATTTAGGAGGGAATATCTGGAAACAAAAAGCATACAGTTTCTACCTAGGGAACTTCCCCTCCCCCTAGTGAAATTATTCTTGTTTGTTTTGAATTAAAATATGGCACCTCCAGTGAACATGCAAGTTCACTAAATGTGAACAGCTTTGCATTTCAAACGATTAAGACCCTACTCCAAATTGTAGAAGCTTTTCAGGAACCATATTACTCTCATGATACTTCATTAATCTCCATCATGTATGCCAAGCCTGACACGTTTGACAGTGAGGACAATGTGGCTTGCTCCTTTTTGAATCTACAGATAATGCATGTTTTACAGTACTCCAGATGTCTACACTCAATAAAACATTTGACAAAACCAGCCTTGGTGTGTTTGGGGATGTCTGTATTGACTGACTGTGGTGTGCTGAATGCGATACGGCACCTGGTGGATGCTGATTACAGAATTTTAAGACGTGTATGATACAGTAACTGGCAGTGTGGGGCAGCTGCAATTGTATCTCAAAAGTGAGTCTTTCATGGGAATCAGAAGATTAGGATGCCAATGATTTGTCTCAAAAAAGTTAATGAATTTGTAGATGGACATTCACTGAAAGATGATAGTAAGGATAATAAGAATGATGCAGCGTAAATTATTTTTACCGGAGAGAGGAAATACATGTAGAAAAAGCATGTTATCTTTGAGACTGAAGCTTTTTTGTTCAAATCATTTTGAAAAAGTATGTCATTCTTGCCTTGAAATTATTAAATTGTGGGGGCTGGAGCAGCGGTGCCTGATGTTGTGCGTTGTCCTCTCAGGTCTGGTTTTCAGGCCAGCGGAGGGTGACGCAGATAGTGTGGTGAAGGAAGAGGTCATGCTGTGCTGGATAGGTAAGTCGTTCTGCTGAAATAAGGCTGCAGCTGTGAGTACTTTTTTCCCCCCCTTTAACCATGAGGGAGAGCTAGTCTCTCTGGGTAACGCAGAGGAATAAGTTGTTGGCAAAAATAAAACCAAGTTTGTACTTTTAATGCAAGCTGTAGAATTGCCCTTACTTGCAGCGTGTTTAATGTATTTAAAACAGGCTGACATTTTCTGAATGTGTGCCTGTGTTTCAGCTACAGATTCAGTGGGGTCAGGGCTGGGACAGATGCTGATGTTACCTGTGGCTCGCTGGTGTGCCAGACCTCTCACGTCGCTGTGATAAATTTGCTTGCTGTCAACTTTGAAAAGGCAACTTACCACTGGCTAACCTCCCCTCTGTGTTCAAGATATTGGGAGCACTGGTCATGTCCTGCTCCGAGGCGTCCCTTGAGATGCCGCCTTTGAGCTTCATTGCTCATTTCTGAAAGAGTAAGACATGGGTCAGCCAGAGCCACGAGGCTCATTGTTGAAAAGTTGGCATCATGCCTTTAATTACACTGAGGAGAAAGAGGGAGGGCAGATGACTTCAATACGTAGTTGTTGATTTTGTTTTAAAGAGTATCTCCTTTTTTCATGGTGGCAGGAGCGGCAAGAGTATTGTGAAGCAGGGAAATTAGGACTTCAGATGTTTTGGAACCCTTGAAATTCTCTTTTGTATCGTCTCCCTGGTGCGGCTAGTGTTTGTTCTTGGCGTTATTTTGATGTTACCTAATTGAGAAAAGATTAGGACCACCAAATCTTGTGTTAAAAGTCGAATCCAAAAGAAAACCCAGCCTACCTGTTTCTCCTGGAAGTCAGCAAGGTTGCTAGTAACAGAGAAGGGCTCATGCTGGGTTTGAGACGCAATGAAAGGTGAGTGAGAAGTGGAGTATGTGTGTTGGGGAAAGAGAAGTGACCTCTTTACTGCACTAATACCCACTGAAACGTGCTCTCGTGTCCTGTCTGAAATTCGTTCTGGTTTCCAGAATATCCTCATGCTACTTAATTATTACATGTCAGTGAAGAAGTTGTTAGAAAGGACAGCACCATTCATGGATTGCTTTTTATTTTTGCATCTCTTAGTTACATTTAATAAGCCATATTTGTTTCGATTTGAATGTGTGTACTTCACAATACCTCCCTGTTCGAAAAGTAAAAATAATTACAAATTGAATGAAGTTGTTCTTGATAGACAGGGGGTTTTGAAGTTATTACAGTATTCTGAAAATAGAAAACGAACTTAAAATATTTGCCACATCTTCTTTAAAAATATATATTCTATAACGTTTTATGTTTCAGCTTATTAACTTGCCTGAATAGTTTATCTCTTCAGCTGTTTAACTAACGTTCTTTTAACTAGTGAAGTTAATCAATTATTCCAGAATAAAAACAAGTTTTATTAGAAGAAAGAATAATCTGATAAGCTCTGTTACTCCTGTCACTGGTGACTTGTGGCAACTGCCACATTAAATATGTGTAGCCTGTGTTTCTCCTCAGTGGGTCTATGCATTTAAGATGTACAACTCCTAAAAACTTGTGGATATATGTAGCAAGTTTCAAGCACTCTGTTTTAAATAGAGTTGTGATTTAACTTAAGCCAAGCACACGTTATTTATGCATTTCAACCTGCACATGTGACTCCAGGTGCAATGTCTCCATCCTACTCACATGTGCTATTTAAGAAAAAAAAAAAGTGACATTTGCCTGCATGCTCTTCACTAAGTCTCGGTGACCTGTACTCACTGGGGGTGATGATGGTGAGTAGAAGGAGACATTTTGTTTCTCTAGCTGGAGAAGGATGAGAAAACATTGTAGGCACTGCTCTTCCAAAATATGGAAAGTAGGGAATTTTGCAAAGGAGGAGGAGCACTAACCCTTCCTCTTAACTTGCATTCCTCAGTGCTTAATAGCCATGGCGTTGATGGCATGTTTCTGGTATTAAACAAGTGCTAGTGGAACAGGGAAATCGCTGCTGCCTGCCTCCAAACTGACCAAAAGAGAGTGCCTGAAAGTGATGCGGAGATGCCAGTGAAAGCAGCTGTGCCTGCGCTGGCATGTGGGGTGACTCTGTAGGAGTGGATCGGAGAGCGAAGCGTTGGCACGGAGGACCTGATGTTCCCACGGCATGTATTTGAGGGCCTACCTCGGACTAGTTGCAGGCTGGTCCCATGAGGAGTTAGAGTGCAGTTTGCACTTCAGTCTCAAGAGAGAACCAGTTTGCCATAAGATACCCGAGAGATAACCAGTTTGCCTGCTGTGAGACTCCTGTGCAATGCAGAGCAAAGCAGGGATAGAGTGTGTGTGTGTGTGTGAAGAGGTGTGATCGGGAGATTCGCTTTTAAAAGTACGTTCCTGGTCAAATAAAAACATTGCTGTAGACAAGTAAGGGCTTAGTGCTGTCTTTTATTGGCAGCATCAATAGCAATATCTAGGTGATGTGCTTGGGCACCCCAATACGTGACATTTCAGACCATTAAGAAGCACAAAGAAGAATGGAAATTTAACTTTTGAAGACTATTTGTACCCACGAATACCTCTTTCACGTAGGATATAGTTTTCTGTCCTAATCAGCATTTCCCAGAACAGCACAAGGGGAGCAGGCTTGGGTTTTCTGTGTGGATTAAAAATATGTGGATTAATATATCATATAAAACATAATATTGTTTCCACAGTATGTTACCTAAAGTAAAACAGATAGTGAGTGTGCTCAGCAGTCAGTGATGAACTAGAAATAGCCACCTAACTGCCTGAAACTCAGGTGTGTTCGTCCGGCTATTTGAAAACTGAAGTAAACCTTTTAGTAGGATAAGAGCCACCAAGATCATAGAATCATAGAATAGTTTGGGTTGGAAGGGACCTCTAAAGGTCATCTAGTCCAACCCCCCTGCCGTGGGCAGGGACATCTTCAACTAGATCAGGTTGCTCAGAGCCCCGTCCAACCTGACCTTGAATGTTTCCAGGGATGGGGCATCCACCACCCCTCTGGGCAACCTGTGCCAGTGCCTCACCACCCTCAGTGTAAAAAATTTCTTCCTTATATCTAGTCTCAATCTACCCTCTTTCAGTTTAAAGCCATTCCCCCTTGTCCTGTTGCAACAGGCCCTGCTAAAAAGCTTGCTGCCATCTTTTTTATAAGCCCCCTTTAAGTACTGATAGGCCGCAATAAGGTCTCCCCGAAGCCTTCTCTTCTCTAGGCTGAACAACCCCAACTCTCTCAGCCTGTCTTCATAGGAGAGGTGTTCCATCCCCCTGATCATTTTCGTGGCCCTCTTCTGGACCTGCTCCAACAGGTCCGTGTCTTTCTCATGCTGAGGGCTCCAGAGCTGGCCGCAGCACTCCAGGTGGGGTCTCACCAGAGCAGAGCAGAGGGGCAGAATTGCCTCCCTTGACCATGCAGTAAAGAGCATGATCTTTTTAACGGCCTTCCCAGTTCTGCATTTTGAGTAAAGTCTTTATTTAAAAAAGAAAAAAGTATTGTCTAATTTCATGTTTATTTGCTCTGTCATTGACTGTGTCCAGCCCTGGAGAGGTGGTAGCATTATCGTAATTGTTTTAAATTATTTACCTTTCCTGAAGGATCCTGTCTTACCTGCTGCAGGTTTCCATCTACCTTCTCCCCTTCATTGCCAGGTTCACCCTGATCTCTTCCCAGACCACAGGGCCTGGTTGGTCAAGGAGTCTGTATGCCAGAGCGCCTGCTTTGAAAACGCCATGTCATAAGCCGTACTTTATTTCCTCCTCTCCCACTGAACAAGTTTCCAGCTGGAGTGGCTGCACTGTAGCTGTGGTAGCTTAGCTGAACACCTCCCGGCGCTTTATTGGTGCTGCCTGTGATTGCCCAGCGGTGCGTGCCATGGGCAGGGGCAGCCCTGCCGAGCACGGCGTGCCCCCACGCGGGGCTCCCGGCCGGGCAGCAGCCTCCAGGCATTCAGCCCGGTGGCAGTGTGCTCCGCGCCTCCTACCTCTGCGCCAGCAAGCTGGCAAATAACCTTCGAAGCTTCAAAAGTATCAGCAACGTGCTTTCTCGGTGCAGCATTTTATGTTCTTGTGGCTGCCAGGCTTGTTCAAACCGTCCTTGCAGAGCTCTGTTGGTCCTTACCGTGGCGGTTGGCAGTGATGCTGCATGCCCCGTTCTGTCAGGTGGTTTAAATACTGAGCATTTCTTCTACCACGTGCAGGGTAGGACTGTAAAATTGCATTTTGAAAGAGCAATGTGTGTGGCAAGGTTTTCGGTTTAAAAAATTTCAGCTAAATTTTAACATTTCTCTCCACTCATGAACTCAGCTCACAGAGGATGAAGGGGGGGAAATCATTAGAAGTTAGTAATTGTTTAAAACTAATAATCACTTGTTTTAATTTTTACTCCCGCCATACTAATTCCGTATGTTTGATTATGCTAATCCACCATTTCACTTCAATTAAACCAGGAAAACCACTGGAGGCTTTGAAAAAATAACAATAATAATCAAAGTAGTGGTATT